AGCTTTTGTAACTTTCTTCTAACATTGGGGGCTGACTGGGACACAAATGCAATATTAATTGCTCATGCATTCTCAGGTGCCATCGGATTAATTGGGGTATGCAATCAATATGCCTCTAGGAGGTGCTCTAAGAACACAGCAGGAGATTCATCAGCCAACTATCTAACCTCAGTCACTCGGGACAAATTGGTGGGCTTCTTGGCAGCTGCATAGAGAGTGCCTACAAGCCTCAGGCGATAATCATCAAGAGCCTTCCTACCTCCATCCATATTGGGGTCACAGTCAGGTTGAGAGGAAGGGAGCAGGTGTTCGATCTTCTGCTGATCAGTGGATGCAGACCTGTCCAGATCTCAGACTCCTTTTTGCCTGAGAGTGCAGATGCAGTTTCTCTTCAGCTGTGAAGAGGATGTGCAAGAACTGTTGACAATCATCCAAGTGGGGTGATGAGTAGAGAATTCTAAAAGTTTAATCAGAGTTTCAGGATCCTTTGAAAAAGGATGATTCTGGGTTTTCTAATTATAAAGTTCTGAAAATGAGAAAGGAGTATATACAAACATTAAACCCCTGCTCAGAGTGGGGACCTCCTGTAATGGACAAAGCAAAGTATTTGCCTCAGAGGTCTGCCCTGAAGATGCCTCAGGTTGTGGATGTCGGTGGGTGTGAGTGGGACTTGTCGGTGGGGATGTAGCAGTGGAATCAGTTTGGGGATAAGAGGTGGGATATGGGAGAGGCAGCAGGAGTGCCTCCAGCAAGTCAAGGGGGTCTTCTTTGGAGGGCAGAACTGGAGGCACAGTAGGTTCAGAAGGTGACTTTTCAAGTTTTACTTTCACTTTGAGGGCTGCAATGTTGCCAGAGGGCTTAATCCAGGAAGGGGCAGCAAAAATTATGTATATCCAGATCTGAATATAGACAATTTGATTACAGAGAGTAGTGGGCCCAAAAACATACCAGCGAGCTTGTAGTCTCCATGTTAAAAGACTGGTGTGTGTGGGGGGGTGCAGACTCCTGGGTTGCTATGGCATTCCTGTGTGACAAAAGTTGTTAATCTGACCTTATAAACCTTTTCCTCATATCCCTCAGCTCACCACTTGAATTCTTTGAAGGGACCAAGCACAAGGCTAAGCAGTGGGCAGTATTTAGATTCAGTTTTCCCCATGGCCGGCAAAGATGTCAGTTCTTCTCTCCTGTGGGAGAAACTAAGAGACAAGATTAGGAAGAAGAGACAGAACAACAATGAGATGAAAATAATAGTCAAAATCTTTTTTACCCATTTTGACTTATAAATGGGGTACCTATGAGGAAATGTTCTGTTAGATTTGGGTAACCAAAAGGAGAACAGTTAGACCAAATAGGCATACAGACAGACATACAAGACAAGACAAACTGCAGAAAAAATAGCCTTTGCTCAAAAATAGGTCAAATTTTGGGATCTGGAAGAATTGTCAAATTAACCGCTGGAGCAGCTCCCAAGTGGGGAAGGGTCACAAATGGATGTGGCTCATCTGCAAACCAATTTACTCTGTTTTCAAGAGGTCCTTGCTCCCCAAATTAATGGTGTCTTCTCCAAAAATACAAATTGACCATGGTCCAAACAAACCCCACAGAGAACTTACTTTTAGGTGTTCAGAATTGGGTTGGGGTCTTGTGTCCATCCCGGATGGGCCCCCAAATTTGAAAGCTCGGCCCCGGAATAAAATCCAAGGAAGCAAGGTATTAAGAAAATTCAGAAGGAAGGCTTTATTCTTGGCCTGCCAACACAGCCCCCTTTGGATTGACCCTGAGACTGTATGCCTCACAGACTAAAGGAGGGATATTTAAAGCTAAAAACCACAAAGCTGTAAAGCTGTCACCTTAGTTGACTTAGTTCTGATAACATCTGGAGCTCTTGGTGCATTGTTCTACTCCCACCCTGCAGTTAAACAGTATCTCAGAATGACACACCTGCAATAACATGCAGAAAGAGGGTAGGAGAGTTAATTATCTCAGAGAAGCTTGCTAGCAATAACATGTGGAAAGGGGGTAGGAAGTTACAAGAAGCTGAAACTTAAGGTTTTACAAGGATTAGAAACATAACCCTATCGAGACAGTGCATACAGACAAAATAAGACAGAGGCACATTGGTTGGAGTTAAGCCATAACAGTCTTGCCCTTTGAAGTATCACTGGCCACAGGCCACTAAGGCCTCAGCCAGGACCAGTGATTCATAGAGGTTCACCTACTATGAATCAGCTCCCATTGCTAGGCAAGGAGCTAAGGCCTAGGACAGACTCACAGATAAATACCGAAAACCAATTAGTAAAATTTACATCTGCTCAGAGCTGCTTCACTGTGGTCTGCAATGGTAATTATCATCAAAAAAGAAATATGCAAGAGATGGTTTGAAGGGGTCACTTCCTAAGGTGATGGAAGGAAAATGAAATCAATCAAGTTTAGTACATGCAACAAAACAATGTTCTGACAATTAGAAAATAAAGATGACTCTAGGTAACCCAACAGAATTCATCTCCAGGTAGGAGAATTGCAACAACACAATGAGAGAATATTTGACTGTTATGTCAACTCACATAATGAAGCAGAAAACATGCAAAGGTAGAACTTCATATAAAAAGGTTACAAGAACTGATTTTATTGGATTATTGTTAGAACTCATTTTATTAGGTATGAACAGCTACACTAAAGAAAAAGACTCATCATGGTAGTCACTGATGACTACCCATCGTTTTGTTTTGCAGCCCAATAATGCTTATATTTTTGGTTTTGATTGATTTTAGTCCGTTTGCAATTACTAGATTTCAGTACATATGAAGGTATGGACAGCTATTTTGAAGAAGAAACATGCTAGCCATTATTGATTGCCAAATGTCTGGTTTTACTTTTTTTTTTTTTTATCAGTACCAGGGATCGAACTCACAATCACCTGCTTGCATGTAAGTTACTTATGCCACTGAGCTAAAGCCTCAGCCCCTAATGTCTGGTTTTAAAGGCCAACAAAGCTCTCATTCTTTTGTTCTGATTGCTTTTATACTGTTTTGGTTCGTATTAACTTACTCTTTGTGACAATATGGACAACAATGTCAAAGAAAACAAAAGTCATTATGGTGGCCACTGTTAATTTCCTGTTGTTTTGTTCTGAAATTCTGGAATCCTACTGTTTTGATCTGACCTACTTTGTTGTTTTTCTTTTCATTGTTTCATTCTCTTTAAAATAAAAAAAGAAAGAAATAGGCACATGTATTAGGATTTTACTAGAGAAAACAGATATAACTCGAGATATACAAATGTGTAAGAAATGACAAGATTGGCTTAGGATGGTGAGCTACAGAGTCAGATGAGGAAGCCTGCAGAAGGTGAATGCATGCTGGAGACTGAAGAATTCAATCCAAGGTCTTGAGTTTACCCTAGGGTCTCAGTTCAAGTCTGCACCAGCAGGCTGATGGGTCTGTGACAGAAGGCTGAAAGATCTACAACACAAGGCTGAAGAGTCTATTCCAGAAAGACAAAGTCCAGACCAAGGGTGAATAGTGGAGTATTCTCCAAAGAAAGCAATGCATTCCTCCTTCCTCCTTTCCTTTTATACAATCCAGGTATGAGCCACCCTAGGGAGGATCATCTATTCCCCAAGATATAGAGTTGCTAAGCCCATTTAGTTAAACTTCTAAATGTCTCAGGTGGACACAATCAACCACTACAGCAGAGGTAATCACACAGATAAATACAATAGACCATTTTAAATTTGAGCTTGCCTTAGGAAGATTACTTTGGATTGAACAGAGCCACAAAGAAATCAAATGGTCTTAAAAAGAGTGATAGAAGGGATCCAGGTCCTAGGCGAAGTCATAGAGATGACTGAGCATAAAAGGCAATGATGATTTTTCAGGATGAAAAAGTCCCCTGGCAAAGAATGTGTGGGGGCAGAGCGAGGACAGAAAAGGTATTTTATCTATTTCAGGATATTTTAACTGAATACTTAAGGCTGGGTGATTTATAAGACACGACATTACTCATGGCTTCCTCACTGCATCACATGGCAGAAGGCAAACAAGGAAAATTTGACAAACTCATCTCTACAAGGCCATGTGAGAGAGATAACGTGTGTGTGTGTTTGTGTGTGCATTTTACCTGTAACCTGCACCCCTTCCCCTTTTACCTACCTCAGGCTCTTGATCACCTGGAATTACAGCCATGAGTCACCCTATAGGCCTGCTCTTCCCTCCTCCTCTCACTAGTGATGGCAATCCATTTACCCAGTTGACGTTCAACTTCATGATGGAAAATTTTCTGGTGTCCATGGACTTCATCACTCACAGTTTGTATGACATTATGTAATATAGCCATTGCCTACCTACCAAGCAATATTCTAAACTTTGAATGCTCAACTTTATCTTTTTTCTTTAAAAAGAAAACAGTTATTATCATTATCATTATGACTAATTATGTTTTGATTTTTTTTTCCCCTTGCAGCAGTCAAAATCAGGAGCTCCGGCTTCCCAGGCCTTGCTGTGAGGCTTAGGTATATCCGGGATTCCTTTCTTTATGATTGATATTTGTAATTTTCTGACTTATTTTGGGCATAGGAGGTTCTTGTCGGATTTTGCAGAAGGCGAAATTAAGGTGTCAGTTCCTAGGGAAGGATTCAAAGCGGAACCCTGGAATAGAAATTTAGCAGCCTTGGTCAGTGAAAGGACATTCACTGTTACATACTCTGCAGTTGACAACTCGCAGTTGGTTGTAACCTTTGGCACTGTCTGCCAATTTTTGTTTTCTCCAGTGTGAGACTCTCTGCCTGGCTCCGATAACCCCGCATAATTCACAGCCAACAACCTGCTGTGAGGCGGGTCTGTACTGCTTCAGACCCAGTCATTGGCTGTGCCAACTAACACTCATCCTCATCTAGGGGCTCCTGGCCCCAGGGACACAGAGGCACCTCCGACCCGGAAGTGGCTGTGCGCAGATGACATCTCGCGAGACCTGTGAAGGCGCGTGGCCCGCCTCCCTATGAGCCTTGCTGGACGTTTGGTTCCTGCCCTGAGCTCTTCAAGCGCCATCTTGCTCCCTTGGCTAGGGCGCCCGGCTTGGAGTTGCTGTGTGTCTAAGGAAACGACTCAGCTGCACTTTCCCAGAGAAGGGTAGGTGAAGGCTGCAGCTTTTGGCCCCCAGGCTGCGGAGAGGAGGAAGCAGGAGAGTGGCTCTGGGGGTCTCCTTGGCTCTTGGGCGGGTGCCCGAGGAGCTGTGGTTGGTTCACAAGCGAGCAGCCTTTTGAGGCGGCCGGGAGCCTTAGGAGGGCCTGGAGCCCTGCCTGGCCGGGATGTCAGGCCACACCGTGCTGAGACAGCACTTCGGGTAGTGGGAGGTGAAGGGGATTCTGAAACCTAGTTTTGCCTTATCTGGTGTTCAGCAGTCTGACTTAGGGACGGCATAAGCGCAGGGACTGGAACAGCCCACGCCCCAGTCCCCACCCGCTCCGCTGCATTGGCACTCCCACCAACCCAGCTGGTGCCTCAGCCTGGGCCTCTTGCCTGCTGGCTCCTTCGCATAGTTTTCTTCGTATTTGTTTAGTGGCTTTTGCCCTGGGTATAAGCTTACCAATCGCATTTTTCTCTTCTAATTCTGAGAGGCCCTCACTACCTAGCTACTGGGACTGGGCGGAAAAAGTTACATCCTTCTGCCTCAGCCTCTCAGGTCCTGCAATTTTGGACTGCACTGCTGTTCCAGGCTAAATAACCCCAACGTTAAACTCCATTCCTTCCCACTTATAGGGATTTACAAGTTCGATCTGGCTCCAAGACTGTGCCAGTTCCAATGTTCTGCTTAGTTTCCTAGCAGGCCTCATTAAAGCTCTGGCAGTGTTTCTCCTCACAGTTTTCCTGGGAGAATCTGTTTGGGCTTCACTTCTCCTCAGGACTAACCTTCTTTGAGCTTTTCCTGTTAGACATCACTCTCTTTTCAGGTTTGTTTCCCTCACTGTTAGGAAAAGTAAGGAAAGCAGTGTATTTGTTCCTGGCCTTGCTGGCTTCATCTAGTTAACACATCTGTGCCTGTCTGTAGCATCTTCCATGAGAGACACACCTGTTTGTCCCCTAAGACAAGAAGCTTAATCTACTTTAAGATGCCTCTAGGGGAGTTTCTCCAGAGTGTGACATTACAGACAGTGTTTTGAATCCTTTTCCTCTCAGAAACATCCTAAGGCCTAGCATGTGTCAAATGTCACGGTCGAACCCAAATGCCTTCTATGAGAGAAAACCCTGTGAGTCAAACACTGTCCTTTAGAAACAGCTTCTCAACATGGGAAGTGGGGGTGAAGGGTCAGTTTTAGGGATTGGGTTTGGAGTTTTTTGTTTTGTTTTCCTTTGTTTAAGTCATGCTGTGCAGCCTAGACTGGTCTCACACTCATGATTGTCCTCCAGTTGGTGCTTAATCCTAGGGATTGAACCCAGAGTCTTTGTAGTTAGCTAAGCTACAGTCCTTTTCATGCATTCATTTGTACGTTCATTTATTTGTTTGTATATATTAATACAGAGTCTCATTAAAGTGCTAAGTAAGTTCCCCAACCAAAATCCTCCTGCCTCATCCTGTCAGGCTGCCAACAGCAGCTTTTATGTCAGACTTCTCCCCCATTCTCCCTTCACATGAGTGCTTACCTCCATGTCCTCTAAGACCAGACATCAGGCAAGAGTTGTTTGGATACTCTGCCCTGAGAAATCTACCAGTCTGTCTCACCATTTCCCCCTCTGATTCTTTTAGGCCCTGTCAGTTCTAACAACTGTTACCAGAGACTCCTCACCACTTATATCTGGGGCCTATCTCTTATTATAAAAAGTCAGTGCTGAAAGGGGTTTGGTATCATTGATCAGAGAAGCCTGATCACTCTTTGGCATCTGGATGGTGTCGGCTTACTGTTTGGGTCTTAATCTATCCTGTCTCAGTACTTTAGCATGTTGTTTACTCCCTTTTCTTTAAAGTAGGTGTGCTGTGTGCCTCACTGCTGGTGCTCCCTTTTCCTCACAGATGTCCAGCTTACTGCCTTCCAAGAAACGTAAAGTATCTGAACCTGATTCAGCAGCACTGGATTCTCCGCCCCCTATGTTGGACGAGTCCTCAGGACCAATGACTGTGAGTGTCTTCCTGGAGACTGCCAGGTGGGAGGGTAGAGTGGGTTTCTTATAAAAATCCCTCTGTTGAAGCCCCTATTATGTCTTTCTGAACCTGGTTCTCCCCCCCCCCTTTGGTTTTGTCTGTTTCTCTCCCTAGGCTGTACCAAAGAATAGTGACACAACCATAGATGAAGCTCTTTACTCCCGTCAGCTGTGAGTGGGGCCAGACCTGGGGATGAGAAGGAAGGAGGAAGCACAGAGTGGATAGGATGGGGTGGTTCAGGCTCTGACCCAGAAGTTTCCATCTGCAGGTATGTGTTGGGTCATGAGGCAATGAAACATCTCCAGAAATCCAGTGTGCTGATATCAGGTTTGCGGGGCCTGGGTGTGGAGATTGCTAAGAACATCATCCTTGGTGGTGTAAAGGCTGTCACACTCCACGATGAAGGCACTGCTCAGTGGTCTGACCTCTCTTCCCAGGTACCTGTCTGAGTCTCCTTGCTAAGATGCTAGCCTCCTTCATATGTGCATCTATTTCAGTCCTCTCTTGATGTGTTCTTTGTAGTACTATCTGCAAGAGGATGATATTGGTAAAAACCGAGCTGAGGTGTCACAACCCCGGCTTGCCGAACTCAACAGCTATGTACCTGTCAGCACCTACAGGGGACCCCTTGAGGAAGACTTCCTTAGTGGTTTCCAGGTACTTTGAAGCATCGCCCTGCTGGTGCCTAAATTTGTCAGGTAGTATCTGTTGGTCATGTGTTAAATGGGCTGGCCCTGTGGTCATGATTTTTGTGAGAGCCTAGGCTTAGGAATAGAATCAGGTGTGGGACTTGTCTTTGGTAGATTCATAGCCTTTCAGAAAGAAGAGTGCAGTAGTATACTTTGGTGTTGTAATTAGGAGCTCTGAAGTCTTGAACTAGATTGCCTGTGTGTTCTGTCTTTCTACATCATTGTGAAAAAGTCACTTAATCAGCTCTGCCCTTACTTTTCCCGTTTGTAGAATAGCAACAGCAATAAGGTTGACCTTAGACTTTTTGAGCAACCTGACCTTTGACTGGCAAGTGGCATGGCATTGGTGGTATAGAGGTGTCTCTTACACAGCAGAGAAGAGCTAGAGAAGAGCTTTGGATGCTGCTTTCCCTTGGCTTCAAAGTGGACCACGGTACTAGACAGAACTCTTGTTACAGAAGTAGAAACGTGTCTTCCTGAAGCCTTCTCCATTTTGTATTGCGTTAGGACCAGGAATTAAACCCAGCACCTTGCATTTGCCAGGCAGGCACTGTACAGAGAAGTGCATCCCTGGTCCTTTGTACTGTTGAAGAATCAAGGAAATTTAAACCAACACTTCAGTTGTAGAGCAATTCAACTGTGGCTCTGTGGTAATTTTCTGGAAAGTTGGAACAAGTAGGTTCTTCATACGTAAAAGCAGACTTTGGCTGGAACAAAGTATTTCTATTAGTTTATTTCTTGGAGAACAGTTGGGTTGTAGACAGGCAGCTGAATTAATTAACCCATCTTCAGATTCTGTACTTCATTACCTCCTTATCCTTCTTAAGTATTGGAGATTGTTTTTTGTTTGTTTGGTCTTTGTTTTCTTCCTTTTTTTTTTTTTTTTTTTTTTTCATTTTTTTTAAACTGAGTTTTCCTTCTGAGTCTGACACCCTGGGAATTTTTAAATGTTTGTGAAAGAGGGCTGACTTATCACTGCTAGGATCTTCATTTCTTCATTCTGTCCTGGTGCCATCCCTCTCAGATTTTTCTGTTTCCTGTCCCTGTTCCCTTTGTGCCAGGTCACTCTAATGCCACTTCCTGTTTGCAGGTGGTGGTCCTTGCGAACACTCCTTTGCAGTGCCAGCTCCAGGTGGCTGAAGTGTGTCACAGTCGTGGAATCAAGCTGGTGGTAGCAGATACTCGGGGCCTATTTGGGTGAGTGAATCCCTCTTCTGTCCTCCTAAGACTTGCCAAACCCAGCCTAAGAGTCATACCACTCTTAGGCAACCAGATTGACAGATTTCTGTGTTCACTTTCTCTGCACTGCTGTGAACACCCTTTGCCACCCACCACTCATATCTCAGTTTGTTAGGCAAGCATTGGCTATATTTTGAAACCTGTGAGTGCCTGTGTACGTGGTCTTGCCCATCAGTTCTGTTGCCTCCCTGTATAGGCAGCTCTTCTGTGACTTTGGGGAGGAAATGCTTCTCAGGGATTCCACTGGGGAGCAACCACTAAGTGCGATGGTGTCTATGGTCACCAAGGTAAGCAGACCAGTGGTTGTAATAAATAGATGGGCAACAACTATCCTTGCCTCTTCCCTTCTGACAGTCTTACCTGATCTGTAAAACTCACCCCTTTTCCCACTAGGGCAACCCTGGAATTGTCACCTGTCTGGATGAAGCGCAGCACGGATTTGAGAGTGGCGATTTTGTCTCCTTCTCAGAAGTTCAGGGCATGAAGGAACTCAATGGCAGAGAGCCCATAGAGATCCAAGTGCTAGGTATACCAAGCCTGGGTTTGATGAGAAATGGCTGCCTAGAGCAGGTGGAAAGTTGCCTTTAGCTGTGGGGCAGTCCTAGAGGACAAGAAATGATGCATTTCTCTAGTCTGAAGCAAATTGGAAGCCAGAAGTGAGCCATGGTGTGTCTCTAACCTTTATGGAGGTTCAGTAGAGGCAGAGCCATGGGATCCCACTGATGAAAGTGTTGCAGGTAGAATTCTGTAGTGTAGTCTTTTCTGTTTGCTTATCTCAAAAAGTTGTTAATGATTACAGCTGTTTAGGTATTTGCTTTAAAATTTCTGTATCTTTACATTTCCAAAAGGATAACATTTCAGGACCTGTAGAGTGTGGTTATTTTGCTCTCTGAGTGATGGTTTACTTTCATGTGCATACGTGCTTGATAGTCAGGGGTTTTAGCATTGCTCTGTTTGCTGTTGAGTTTTGCTTTTATATGTGTCCTTTCTCAATTTGTGTTACTTGCTTTGCTGATGACAGTTATAAAAGATTTCCTGAGAAGAGACATTGATGGCTACATGTCACAAATTCCAATGTCCCTCCTTTTTCCCTGTACACCCCAAATTACATCTGATGTAATTTTCTATCACCTTGAAGACGCTCTTTAACATTTTCTCTATTGTGCACCTGCTGCTAATTCTTTCAGCTCTTCTGAGTGTAACTTGTATTTCTGCTGGCTGCCTTTTGAAAGAATTTTTCTGAGTCTGGAATTGAGTGTTGAATGAAGAGGGCAGTAGCTTGAACCCAGGAGGTTCTCCAGGGCTGGTGGATAGCCCACAGTTGCATGTCAGGCTTGAGCTAGCTTTGGGGCAGGAGGCAGAAGAGGGATGATTTCTGATCTCACCAGTGCTTAGGAAGAGACCTCTAATGACTGATCTAGGAAAAGGTGGCTTTTCCTTGGTTTGCTGGTACTGTTGATCTTTGGCAGGTATAATGTGGGAGGGATATTACATGGAACTATAGGTTCTCCCTCCAACTCACTATTTTATTTAATCTTCCAGGTCCCTATACATTTAGTATCTGTGATACCTCCAGCTTCTCTGATTACATCTGTGGAGGCATCGTTAGTCAAGTGAAACTATCTAAGAAAATTAGTTTTGTGAGTAAAGCCAGTGGGGTAATGGGAGGATCAACTGCAGGGTGTTTTCCACATTTCTAGTTTTTGTTTTAGTTGAGATGTGTTGTTTTGTTGGTTTGGTTTTGCTTTTTTTTAACCTGTGTTGTTCCTGTCCCACTTTCTACAGAAACCCTTAGTAGCCTCACTGGCAGAGCCGGACTTTGTGATAACAGACTTTGCTAAGTATTCCCACCCTGCACACCTGCACATTGGCTTCCAAGCCCTACATGAATTCTGTGTTCAGAACAGCAGGCAACCTAGACCTCATAATAAGGTAAGAGAGTGGTTGAGACCTCCAGAATTCTTGGTCTGAGACATTGTCTTCCCTGTTCATCGAGCTCTTCGTTTCTCATTACATCCCTTCCCTTCCTTCTGTAGTGTTCTAACAAGTTCTCTCTGGGTTTCTTTGGCCCACCAGGAGGATGCAGAAAAAGTGGTAGCCCTAGCACAGGCTGTGAATGCTGGAGCCTTGCCTTCTGTCCGGCAGGACATCCTGGATGAAGACCTCATTCGGAAGTTGGCCTATGTGGCTGCTGGTGATCTTGCACCAATTAATGCTTTTATTGGAGGCCTGGCTGCACAGGAGGTCATGAAGGTCAGGTTGGGTTAGGCAGAGCAAAACTTGTGTAGTCCGGGTGTCTTTCTGACTCCATCACTTGCTAATCTGTATCGGCCTTGGTTACCTGCTGACACTCTGCTTTCCCCAGGCCTGTTCAGGGAAGTTCATGCCCATCAGGCAGTGGCTGTACTTTGATGCTCTTGAGTGTCTCCCTGAAGACCAGGAAGGCTCCATGGAAGATAAATGTGTCCCCGTACGTAAGCAGGGCTGTGGAAAAGCACTATTTGGGATGTGTGTGACATCTCTGTAACCTCTTTCTTCCCATGATACAGCACCAGAACCGTTATGATGGACAAGTAGCTGTGTTTGGCACAGACCTGCAGGAGCAGCTGGGCGAGCAGAAGTACTTTCTGGTGAATGACACACTTGGACACTCACTATCTTCATCTTCCCGGTGCATGGCTTCCACTTCCAGAATCTCTTTCTGATATTGAGAGGAACGTCTTGATCTTTAAACTCTGGTCCCATCCCCTTTCCTCTTTTTGTTGATTGAGAAGAGCCTGATACCTCCTTGGCTTTCTTGTCTGGTGCTGCCTCCTTCAGGTGACCATAGCTTTAATGGCTCTCTGACCTGACTTGCATGAGACATGAGGTCCTTTAGGCCTTTCTTACTGTCTGTAGTGGAAGTGAGGAGTGGTGGGTAATGTCACACTACCTTCATTCTCTCTGACCAGATTTCTCTTTCCTGACTTCCAGGTGGGCGCAGGGGCTATTGGCTGTGAACTGCTCAAGAACTTCGCCATGATTGGACTAGGCTGTGGGGAGCATGGCGAGATCACAGTTACTGACATGGATACCATTGAGAAGTCCAATCTGAACCGACAGTTTCTATTCAGATCCTGGGATGTCACAGTGAGTGGGGCAGGGCATGGATTTGTCTCTCTTCCTTCATAAACTTCTTGTTTCAGAACTTGATGACTTAGGTATGTTTGCTTCTTCATCTGTCTTGCACATCATTTGTAAATTTTTAAGCCTGTTTCTTACTTCTTTTAGCTCATTTGTTAGCATTCATTCAGTAGCTCAACAAAAGTGTATTGAGTACGTCTTTGGTCTTATATTTGGCCTAGCTGTTTTCCCCAACTCTTATTTCTTTGAGTTTTTTTTTTTTTTTTCAACACCAGTTTACAAATATGAAACTGGACGGTTGAAACATTTCTGAGAGTCTTCTGTGAAGATAAATGTTGCTTATCTTTCTTGACTCACTTCATACTTCACATTCTATGTGCCAGACATTTGAAGTGCCAGGTGTGTTCCCTAAAGGAAAAATGTGTGTTAAAGGGAAAATACTCAGAATCCTTTCTCGTGTCCTCTGGATGAGTCTGTATTACAGAGTCATCAAGATTATATTTATTTTAAGACTGTAAGGCTTCCTTACATGATTACTTTTTCATGTGAGTGGAATTTTCATGGCAGGAAGATTTTCTTAATTCAAAGAGAAAGTATTTTCCAAATATAGAAAATGATGAAAGGAGAACTTGGGTTGTTTAAAGATCCAATGAAAAGGAAAATTAAGGGAGCCCTTGTATTAATCTGGATATGAAATCACAATTTCAAAGTTAAACTAAACTTTAAATGTCTGAGCTTGGTCCACTGTGTGTTTAATTTTGAACTATCAGTAGGTGTAATACATACTTGCCTGTTGTGGTTGCACTGTCATAGAAATCCCAGGACTGGTACGCCGAGGCAGGAGAATTGCCTGAAGTTCAAGGCTACATAGTGTTGGCTACATAGTGCATTCACAACCTGCCTGAACTACATAGTGAGATTATACATTAGTTAATGAATGAATGTAGAAAACAGAACTCTTAAAATTTGTTTTGTGATGCTCAATATTCCTTGCAATCCTTTTAAGAAAACATACAGAATAAAATGGATAGATAGTGTGTCTGTATTTATGAGGCTATGTCCTTTCAAGGGTGCTTCATAAGCCTTTGAGTGCTATGTGATTCTTACAAAAATTCTGTTTTGGGATTGTTTTTCATAATATTGTTTATGGTTCATGCATTATGTGCAATGGGTTTTGAAACTGGCTACTTTGCCGATTTTCAGTTCAAATTAATATGAGAAATAATGACAGCTGTGACATAACAAACATCAAGTGAAAGTGGTAAGGACATCTGTGATAAACAGTGAACAAAAGATAGAATTAAGGTTAGCACACGATAATGAAAACAAGATATAGGGCAAATGAGAGTGCCAGCTCTTTCCCTTCTAGAAATCTTCCCAAAAGAGTGAAGAGATATCATAGTACAGTGATAAGTACATATTCCTGATTTATGACATCACAGATCAAAATAGCTAAATCTTGGAAGTAGCCCTTATGTCCATTAATCAAGAAGGAGAGAAAATATGTATATGGGTGATAGTACTCTGTTCTTCTTTTGAGAAGGATAACCTTGAGTCCTTTGTAAACAAGGTATTCATGTTGAGACTATTGTATTAGGTGCAATGAATCAAACCTACAAGCTTGGCATATTTTACTCATGAGAAATCTGAAATAATGAGAATCTAAGTTGAGAGGGAAACATCTTTCTCAAATGGAAAGGGGACAAGAGATGGAGAGGGGAGGAGCAGAAATTTGAAGGATGAAAAGAGGCTTGAGACAATGTGCTCTGTGCATATACCAGCTTGCCACAAGAAAGTTAACACACTATAGACGTACGCTAAAAGAGAGGAAGAAACAACAGTGCCATAGATCATTTTCAGTGTGGAAGGGAACCAGGAGAAGTGAAGAAGGAGCAGAAGTGGACATGAAAAGAATTAACACGTCACATAAAATGGCAACTACCCACAGTATATTTGTCCAGTATGTTTTACATGTGAACTAAAAAAAAAAGGAAGACAAAATGAGATGAGGGAAACTTGATTGGGTGGAAAGGAAAAGAAGGGGAATAGTAAATGTAAGATACGATAAGTATGGGCCTTACTCCATTAGCTGATTGTAAACATATATATTCGAAACGTGCAAATGAAAGGAAATCTTCCAAAATGAAATCAAGTGCAATAGAGGATACCTTAATGTAGATACAGAAAGCCTCTTTGGGAAATGGCATTTCTTGAAAGAACTGAAGAACATAACAATAAGAAGTCATCTGAGAGAACACTATACCAAACAAATTCAAGTAGGGCCCGGGCATAACTGTGAGGCTATAAATGGTTTACGATGAGAGAGGGAAGTTCTATGGAAGAGGCTTTTACCTCTGCAGAAGTGTGAGTCAGTGGAGGCTTTTGACAAGTGGAATGTGACTTGGGATTAAAAAGACTGTTTATCCTCATGGTAGCACATTGGTTTGTTTGATTTGGTTGAATTTATTCCAGCTCTGGGCTCCTTAAGCCGAAAACCCTAAGTGTTGGGGAGATAAATGTGTGTTACTTTCATTTAATTGGAGGCCGTTGGTTTATTTTGTATCAAACATCTGCCCCATTTGTCACACCCTCAGCCCTGTAGGGTAGGCACAGATTGTCCCTTGTGCTGAGCTGAGATTTGCTAACTCAGTGCCTATGCCTGGCCTACCATTAGATAAATTAATTCTCAGGATAGCTCTGTAAAGACGTTCTGGACTGTGTGTATGGGAAGTTGCTCTGTTTCCTTATTTCTACCCAGAAATCAAAGTCTGAGAGAGCTGCTGCGGCAGTGCGTCAAATAAACCCGCATATCAGGGTGATAAGCCACCAGAATCGTGTGGGCCCTGATACAGAACACATCTATACTGATGACTTCTTCCAAAACCTGGATGGTGTGGCCAATGCACTGGACAATGTGGATGCCCGTGAGTTTTGATGGTGGTGGGAACAGTGGCAGAATTGGGGAGGTTGTCTTCTTGCTGCGTGTCCTAATGTGTCTTTTCAGCTCTCATGTCATGCCCCTTCCCTCTCTGAAGGCATGTATGTGGACCAGCGCTGTGTATTGTATCGTAAGCCTCTGCTGGAATCAGGCACCCAGGGCACCAAAGGCAGTGTGCAGGTGGTTATTCCTTTTCTGACAGAGTCCTACAGGTCTAGCTATGACCCACCTGAGAAGTCGATCCCTATCTGCACACTGAGGAACTTCCCCAATGTCATCGAGCACACCCTGCAGGTATTCAGCCTTGGGAGGGGGGATAAAGAGCTAGGCATCTAAGCAGCCCTTGTTTATCATTGAGGAACTGCAGCATCTATCACAACATGTCTATGTCCAGCCTCATTCCCTTTCTTCATACTAAGCAGCCTAGAATCTGAAAATTATTTTTTTAACTTTGCAACATTGATGTTTGAAGTATAATGAATGTAAGTCAGCATGTGTATCTGAAATGTAAAAGCATATCTCTGGGTAAAAATCTTTTTGATTTGCTAAGATTCCTCCTACTGTTTCTTAAACAAGCAAACAAACAAAAGTCATCTGTTAGCTGGGTGCAGTGTGATATCAATTGCAAGGATTATCAGTGTTTTGGAAACCTGTGGTAGGAGGACCACACATTTAAGTCCAGCGTAGGTAATCTATGAACTTGGAGAGGATCTTAGACTCAGAGTTCAAAACAAAACAAAAACAGAAACAAAAGCAAAATAGTGGCCGGTGGAGCAGCCCAGTATAACTCAGTGTGAAGATTCTGAGTTAAAACAAAACTATGTTCCCTGCATCACCGCCAATAATCACCTCAAAAAATCCAAACCCTAACTTTAAATTTAAGGGCACAGTTTAACTTCCTGTAAACTGTTTCCCAAGCTGTGTTATAACATGTTAGGACCCATGATTCTTAGGTCTCACTCTCCGGAGGCTCTGATTTGATTTGTTACTTGCTGTCACTGGCATGAATGCCCGTCCACTTGACTGTGCTACACCAGGCAGTGATAGTGGCATTGGGTAGTTAACATTTAAACTTAACTGTTTATTGGGATAGTACCCATTTGTGTAAAGCATATTCATGGTGTCCATTACATAGCACAGTGTATATCACATAGCTGGACAAAATGAATACTTCTGGAACCTGGAACCCAGAAGCTAACTGTAATTCTACTGTTCTTGCAACTCAGAAATAACCTTCTGCTTTCACTAGAATTCTCAGTTCTTTAGTGATATGTTAAAGGGATTTGAAGGAGGGAAGGAATAACTGCAGTTCCATTTCTAACCCTTTTTTTCCAAGGTTCCAGGGTGTATGTTCATGTTAATGGATGCATCCTTGTATGCATGTCGGGGTGTAGTAAGTGTGCATATAAAATTTTTTCTATGCTGTTAACCCTCTACCTGCCATGCAGGTAAGCTCAGGAGAAAAAGTCTTAACAGATTTACCATGGATTTGTGTTTCCTATCTCTATGCATCATGCCTTGTCTATGACAGTAGTTACTTCTTGCTGCAGTGCTACTCTAAAGAAGTACCTAACATTGAATAGGCAGTTGGAACTGCTATAAACTTTGCGAATACGTTTATGTGCAAATTCTTTGCTAGCAGTTCCAAGAGGTGGCAATACTACTTTTGCCATGTGTATTTTAAAAGCATTAGCTTGATAACACTATTGCAGACATAGACATAGGGAAGGAATTTCTGAACAGAAGTCCAGGGATTCAACAAACAGGATCATACCAAATTTAAAAGCTCCTATACAGCAGAGGACACAACCTCCAGAGTGAAGTGACAACTTAGTGAATGGGAAAAGACATATTGCCAGGTATTCCTTAGAAGACTAAGATCAAGGAAATGTAATGACCTCAAAAAAAAAAAAAAAAAAAAAAGACCAGAATATAGACAATCAGAACATAAGTGCCTGCCTGGCAAGCGCAAGGTTGTGAGTTCGATCCCTGGTACCAAAAGAAAAAAAAAAAAAAAAGCAAAACATATGGGCAATCAAAATGAATACATGCTTCTTAGAAGTAGTACAAATAATCAGTAAATAATGAAACAGTACTTAGTCATCATCAGAGAATTGCAAACTAAAAGTTCACTGAGATTTGATCTGAGGTGGCTATCATCAAAACATTTATTAAATTCTAGTAAAGATTTTGGGAAAAAGCAACTATTTTCTTTGGTTGCAGTGGAAGTCAGTATGGTGAGTCAGATGTACAAACCGTAATTTTATTTTGACACAGCTATACCCATTCTAGCTTTCTTCTCCAAATAGTGAAAAACCATCCTGTTACTTAGGGACATCAATACCCATATTTCTAGTGGTTATAGTAACTGGTATAGTAACTGGGTAGACCTTGGAACAGTTTGTGTCACAAACAGACAAGTGATAAGGAAACTGTGATATTTGTACCCAGTGCAGTAGCCTGCTGTGGTAAAGAGAGGTAAATTGTAGTTAATTGTAGTCAGAAGTAAGTTGAGAACAGAACATCAATCCAAATAAGCCAGAAACACAAGATTTAACATCCCGTGGTATCTCTTATATGACAAACACATTTATGAGTGTGTGTATATGATTACTGAATTACACAATTTTACTCAAATGTACAAAATAGAAGATAATTAAATAGGCAAAAGTTCAAATTCCTACCCCATGTTGTTTCAAAATCTATTTTAGTATAAGATAATTTGTTTCTTTTATGCCACTGATTAATATTATTTGTTGAAAAAAATATTACTAGTTTATTTGTGGAAGCATTTTTGCTGTATTTATGACACTTTGAATAATTTTAAATTTTTTTTTTTTTTTGTGAAAGAGCTAGAATTCAAACGTGCGTTTCTAGATGCCCCAGAATACTTGACGGTTTAGCTTTCAGAGTATAAAAATAAAACAGTTTTTCACACAGTTCCAAGTTTTAGCACAGGGATTCTTACTTTTAGATGTCAAATTTTAAAAATTGGAACCTCGCTGCTGAACCTCGTTTGCAGTGATACAGGTTAAAAATTGGATTGAGCCTCGTTTGCAGTGATACACGTATGCAAGTGTTCACACACAGGTACATATTTGTGTTATGACTGCAGATCAAGGTTATTGATTTTTAAATTGGAGATGAAAAGTTGGGGAAATTTGAAGACTCAATTTTGAGAGATTTTGATTTTTCTCTCCAAGCATCAGTTCTTGTCTTACTGGTGAGCTTTGTGTCTCTGCCTTTGTCTGTCTCACTGTGTGTGTCGCTATCTGTGTCTTACACAAAGTACTTGGGACTGAACCCAGGATCTACACACTGAGCTACCTCCCCAGGCCCTTTTGTTGATTAAATATTACCCTCCTTGGTTTGTTTGCTCTTTTTCCAGTGGGCTCGGGATGAGTTTGAAGGTCTCTTTAAACAACCAGCAGAAAATGCCAACCAGTATCTCACGTAAGTGTCTCACACACTTTCCTACCCTACCTACCTGCCAGGATAGGCTGTTTGTGTTCTTTCCCCTGAAGCGCTCAGTACCAGGCCAGGCTTTCAAGCTTTAGCAGCTTCCTGCATGCATGAGCCTCTTAGCATGTGGTGGGTGTGAGTATGGTAGGAGTAGTTTCCCATAGGACAAGAAGGCTGGACTCTAGCCTGCCTCTGAGCCTGTGAAGTAATCTAGCTGTTTACTTCCTCCAATTCCTGTTAGGGACCCCAAGTTCATGGACCGGACACTGGGGCTAGCTGGCACCCAGTGTTTGGAGGTCCTGGAAGCTGTGCAGCGCAGCCTGGTGCAGCAGCGACCACACACCTGGGTTGACTGTGTGACCTGGGCCTACCACCACTGGCACACAAAATATTCCGACGACATCCAGCAGCTGCTGCACAATTTTCCTCCCAACCAGGTATTGCACTTTTCCTCTTTTTATTATTCTGTCCTTTAGGCAAGAGTTTATTTTCAACCACTGGGAATTTTATTGATGCTTTCACCATGGCTTCTGCTACGTAGTCTTGTTGTCAGAGGCACCCTAAGATCATACTTGCTTCTTCGGCCATTGTTTTCTGCAGACATCTATTTTTATCCCATTTCCCATTTCTCAAACTAAGGTGTTTGACTGTTCCTCTCCTGTGGTGGGGGTTCAGTGGTACTGATTTGCAATGAGAGCTATACATACGAACATCAGAGCAGACAGTTTTGGACTTTAGAGTGCACTTAACTGGTGTGGATTCATGTTCCACCTCCCATTTAACGTTAGGACAAGTGATGTATGTTGTTTCTGTACCACAGTAGTAATAGGTAGAGCTGGATTAGTGATGTGTTAGAGGAGTTGTATGAGGACTTGTTTGCAAACATTTATAGTCAAGTAATAAAGACACTACTGATAAAACTATAAATGTTAACTTGCTCTGTGTTTGGCACAAAGTGAATTTGGGAGGCTAAGCTGCAAATATGAAGACAGACTTCCCCAGACCTGTTCTTTCCCTCCTAGCTCACAAGTTCAGGAGCACTGTTCTGGTCTGGGCCCAAACGCTGTCCACACCCACTGACCTTTGATGTAAACAATGTAAGTCTTTTTCCTGGGGTTTCCTGGGTAGGTGAGAACTGAGTGAAGACCCCCATGCCCCAGGTGGATATTCTCAGTTTCCCATGTCCTGCCTTCTTCCAGTCTCTGCACCTGGACTATGTGATGGCTGCTGCCAACCTGTTTGCCCAGATGTATGGACTGACAGGGTCTCAGGACCGATCTTCCCTAGTCACACTTCTGCAGTCCCTTCCGGTCCCCAGATTTACTCCCAAGTCGGGTGTGAAGATCCATGATTCTGACGAGGAGCTGCAGGACAGCAGTGCTTCTTTTGGTGAGGGCATTTGACTGTTTGGTCAGGAGTCACTGCTCTGCCTGTCGTCCGCCCAGCCAGGCTTCCACTTTCATTAGTCTGCTGCTGGCCAGCCTGTGTGACCGCAGGCCTGTGTGCCTGACGTTCACCTGCACACCATGCTTTGAGCCTCTGCCGTCTTCCATGTCAAATGTGAGAGTGAGTGAGACCAATACTGTCACTCGTTTCTTGTTTCTTCTGTAGATAAAAGGATAATTGTAAATCCCTTTTCCTGTGTTTTCCTGATTTCTCTCCTTTTGTCTGTTTCTTTAAGATATGTTTAGCTGATGGAAAGAGAAGTATAGTTTCTGAGTGAGGTCTTTCCCTCTGCTACTTTGCCTTTTCTGTCTCCCCATTTCTCCCCTTTCTCTACCCTGGTATCTCCTCAGACTTTCTCTGGCTTGCAATTTCCCTCTGGTTAGGTGTCTCATGTTCTATATGTTTCTTCATGTGGGGTGTTCTCTCTGTCTCTTTTTGATTTTCTTGTTCTCTGAGTATTTGTATTTCCTACCTTAAGGTATTTTGTTTTCAATAGTGATTTCATCATGTTATGCTGTGTATGTCATCATGTACGTCTTCAGGTGTCTCCACTTAATAACATGTGTCATCCTTCACACATATCGGTATCTTTTCACCTGTCCACTTCTGTCCTTTTCTTCTAAATTTGAATCCAGGTATCATATTGTGTAATTTTTTCCGGTGAATTTTCCTGCAGTTTCTGTCAATATTTACTTCTCCACTAGTGTCTCAGTCTTATGTTTACTGCCTTGTCCTCTTGTTTTTGTGTCATGAAATTATTCTTCCTTTTCTCCTTGCCAGTCTTTTTAAGTTTTATTTGTTTGTGTATATTGTGGCACTGAGGATGAACCCCAGGACTTTGTAGATGGTGGAGAAGTCCTCTGCCACTAGCTGCATCCTATTCCTCATTGTCTTCTGTATCTCCTTTCTTTCTGTTCTTTAAAATTGTGGTCAGAACACCTCATATTTGCCATCTTGGCTGCAGCTCTGTGTTCTGTTCAGTAATACTGTTGATTGACATTGTTACGCAGTCTTTGTCTTTCTCATCTGCACACGTATACATGTGGACTGGAGTGTGGCTTGGTGGTTGCGCTTACCTAGCATGCTTGACCTCTATGTCCCAAGTCCAACATAACAAAACAATAGGGAAATACTGCTCATTTACTACATTCTCCCCATCTTTCTCTCACCACGATCTCTGGAAACTATCATCTACTTTTCGTGAGTTTGGTTATTCCATGACGTATATGTGGGAAAAAACACTGTTTACATTTTTGCATTTGTGTTATTTCTCATAGCGTATTGTCCTCATTTGTATGTGGATACACACACAGACACACACACACAGCTCAGTCCCTGCAAGGTTCATATTTTATGACATATTTTACTGTATTTTTCATTTAAGGCTAATGACACTGCATTGTGTGTGTATGGTATGCTTTATCTATTTATTTGTTGATGAATGTTTCAATTGCTTCTGCCTACTGGTTACTGTGCATACAATATGTTGATTCGTAATATTTTCACCTGTTTTGTCAGTATCCTTAGAGTTAGTGTCCCTGTATTCCTCACTCCTAGATACCATGTGCTTTTCCATAGATCTTCTGCAACTCATTCCTGTGATGCCAGTCTTCTTGATATCCTTTTTGATTGTGGAACTTTCTGCTGCACTGTGCATTCTTGATTTTTATCTCAGACTCTTGCTTTTACTTTGGGATTAGCAAAGCTAGTGGTGTTCTTTCTTGTCTTGTAGATGACAGCCACCTGCAGGAAGTGAAGGGGAAACTTCCCAGTCCAGCCAGTCTCTCAGGGTTCAAGATGCATCCCATTGACTTTGAGAAGGTGCTGGATATGGGTGGTGGCATGAGGTGCATGGGTGGATTGACAGCAGTTTAATCTATGGCCTTTGTCAGGCTTACAGGTCTTCCATGGAGTCTATTCATTTTGTATATTTTGGGCAGATTGACAGTGTGCATGGATTATTTATGGGTCCCCAGGAAGTAAAGAAAGTTTTCTTAAGTGGACCCTCTGTGCATTAGTATTACTTCCTCCTGCTCCCAACAGGATGATGACAGCAACTTCCATATGGATTTCATCGTAGCTGCATCCAACCTTCGAGCTGAGAACTATGACATTTCTCCTGCAGACCGTCATAAGGTGATGTTAGTCACAATCCTACCTTCCACCCTTCCCCAAGCTTCAGTTCCCCGCATTTGGCCTCTTGTGCATGCCCTCCCTACTTTAACAATGATCATTCCTGTTCATTTCCTAAATTTCAGAGCAAGATGATTGCAGGAAAGATCATCCCAGCCATTGCGACTACAACAGCAGCTGTCGTTGGCCTTGTGTGTCTGGAGCTGTACAAAGTGGTACAGGGACACCAAAAGCTTCAGTCCTATAGGAACAGTTTCATCAACTTGGCACTACCTCTCTTCATCTTCTCTGAGCCCCTTGCACCACCCCGTCACCAGGTGGGGGGTCTGCGTAGTTGGAAACTTGATGTTAGCCGTATGTGAGCCCATGTGCCTGGATATCATTCGATGGAAAACCCTCCCCAGTCCTCCTCATAGCAGATATGACTTTCGGTAGTATAGTATCTGTACATTTGTGTATTCTTGTTGTTCTGTATCCTTTCTTGTTCTTTGTGTGGAGCTGGGCGTAGTAGAAGTCCAGGTAACATGTTCACAAGGAACGAGAGGGCCAGTGTACGTAAGAGACTAAAACATAAGAGACTAAATGGAAGAGCAATGTGGAAGAGAAGTGAGTGGAAGTTTCCATTTCCCATAATTGTGTGGTCTGGATTGCAAGTATTTCTTCTGCCTGTCATAGCATGATATGGCCATCAGGGTTTTGAACAGCAGAGGCCTGCACATTGTCTGAACTTAGCACAGAGCAGTTGGTGTAGCTCCTGTCCCATTCTCCTTCTTTTCATTCCTCAGTACTATCACCGAGTATGGACATTGTGGGATTGCTTTGAGGTACGGGGACGGCAGCCTAATGGTGAGGAAATGACCCTCAAGCAGTTCCTAGATTACTTTAAGGTAAGGCAGTTTTGTGCTTCACTTGGGTCACTTGGATAAGGCAGTTGTACAGATAACTACATGTTGATCTCATTTATGTTTAGTGTTGTTCCCTTTCTCATTCTTTGCAGACAGAGCATAGATTGGAGGTGACTATGCTGTCACAGGGTGTGTCTATGCTCTATTCCTTCTTTATGCCGGGAGCCAAGCTTAAGAAACGGTTGGAACAGCCGTGAGTTGGTGGCTTGGTGGGTAGGAGGGGCTTCCTATGGGATGCTCAACTTGTAGTTTCATCATTGCAAGCTCACTGCCCTTCCCTTCTATGCTGTGACTTGTCCCTTTGTTGCTTTGAGCTCTTTTAACTCTGCTTCTTGCCTCAGTCTGACAGAGATTGTGAGCTGTGTTTCAAAACGAAAACTGGGCCAACATGTTCGCACCCTGGTGTTGGAGCTATGTTGCAGCGATGTGAATGGAGACGATGTTGAAGTGCCTTATGTACGCTACATCATCCGCTGACCCCAGGATACCCTTTTTACCCTCTCCTTTTTCATTTCAGTTTTCTTCCATATCGCTTCTAATTGTTATAAAACCTAAGCCTACCTGGGCATTTTAGTCCTGCTTGTTTTTAAATATGTTTTTGACTGCTTCTTTCTACTTTGTTTGAAGTTGAAATTTATAATAAAGAGTTGCCCAGGTGTGGTGTGCTCTTGTTTGGAAAAGACCTAGTACTCTGTACTCTCTAAGAAGTGAAATCTTATAGTCCAAAGGACCTAGCCTCAACCCACCTGCATGGAAGTTACTCCAAACCTAAAGTCATAAGACAATGACAGTTAAATGTAACTGTTGTCATATATTTAGGCTATACTAACTTAACTATCTTCTTTTTTTCTTTGCTTAGAGCATATCTGCTGTTGCCCACATAATCAAAAGTCTATGCTAAGGTATTTCCCACCAGTTATATTTGTACTTATCAACTATATAAATTTTGAAAGACAGTGGTTCTCCCTACGTGATTTGTTTGGATCTGAACAATGCATCTGGTTAACTTTTATAATGTGGGTTATGTCTCAAATGTTTTGTTTTGCTGAGATTGCTCATGTGTCAAGGAAGGAGACAAAAGATAGTTAGGAGGAATAAATGTCTTTCATGTCTGTGAAGTGTTTTTTACTTGGCACATTCCCTTGCATGAACTGTTTTTAACGGAGAACATACTTGAGCTTTAAATCTCTCACTGTTATGACATGCTTGTTTGCGTCTCAGCACTATTGATGAGATCGAACATTGACCAAGCCTTTACAAGCCTGGTTCTGTAGTGTAAGGAATATACAGAGCTTTGCTGGAATGAGCTGTACCATCTTTAAATGTGATTTATATTACAAGAAACAATTTTCTCAAAGAACTTGCAGAAAATCAAGTGCCTTTCAGGCTCCACCCAGCCTGACAGTCTCAAACCCAAGACTGTCTGATACCTCCTTCAGATCCTTAGGCCTCCATTGTTCTGTTCTGATTTGCTTAGTTATGTCCTCTTTGGTCTTAATCTCTTTACAATTACCAACAAAAAACAACCAAAAAACCCCACAGTTGTGTGAATGGGATGCCAGAACCAGTTGAATTCACAGCCAAAGTCTACAATAACTTTTAGTGAAAATATAACACCCATCCTCCTCAGACTCCTAAAAGAAACTAAGATGGCAAGAATACACCAAAATCATTCTTGGCTAACATTTTCATGACTTCTAAAATAACCAGAACAGTACTACCAGTAAAATGGTCTAGTGCACATAGCCGCAAACATTCTTAATAAGATCATGACAAAAATATTTCAAGAGCATTCTGTATGTGTTTAAGTGTACAAGAAAGATAACATACTACTAAGTTTTTGAGTGTATCAAACAATGTTTTGTACTGTCATTGTTTGATTTTCCATATTTTGTGCTTTGATTTTTGTAATTTGAACAATTTCTAATATAACAATATGTCTACTTTCTTAATAGTGATTTCTTAATATTACATTTTTTTGATTTTGCATTATTTCTACCATTTTTCTGCTGTAATTTTTTCTCTCAGTAATAACAGTAATAGTAATAATTGTATTAATAATAACACCCCCACAACAAAAACACTTTTGCATTAGGTGACTAAGCAGATTTCACTGCAGGCCTGAAATATGGGGTGATAAAAGCAAATCAATTTAAGTAAAGGCAAATCAACAAAAACAAAGGCAAAAATTATGCAATCATGTTAGTAGATGCAGACAAAGCCCTTGACAATATCCAACATGCATTCATGAGCAAGCACTACAAAGGGGTATTTTTAAAGATACTATCTCAACTGTAAAATACACATGGGTGATTAACTTACAACAGCATGTTCCATAGATAAAGCTAAAAGTGCTGTTACATTAGGAAGAAAGCCTGCTTACAATCATAGTCCCTTTTTTTTTGTCACTCTTGTTTATTGAAGACATTTAAAACTTAACTGGGTCAATTAGGTAAGAGAAATAAAAGGATATATATCAGAAAGCATTAAGTCAAAGTATCATTACTTCCAGGTAACATGATGCTTTACTTACATGATGATCTCAAAGTAACTGCTAATCTCTGCAAGTTAGTAAACAAATTAGGAGTGTAGAGATTCAGCTCAGTGTCTAAGGGCTTGTCTAATCTGTAAGCCTGAGGTCATGATTTCAAGAAAAAACAAGCTAAAACAAAATCTGCAATGTAGCAAAAGTACAAAAAAAACATAAAACTAATAAAATCTACACACTAAAAATGAACTTTCCAAAAATTAATTTAGAAAAATTCAGAGTAACATTAAAAATAAATATTACTGGGTGAGAATAGTAAATTAGGAGAAAAACTTCTGCATTGAAAGTATAAAAAAGAAAAATGGTATGAGCATCAAAAACTGGAGAAATATTCTTTATCTCTGGACAAGCAAAATAAACACAACACAGGCATACCTGCACACTTGATAGATAGATTTAATGCAATCTCCATAAAAATCAAACTTCCAAGAGCATTTCTGGCAGCCCTAGGGAAACATCCCTCAATGAAATAACATTTCATATGAAATAAGAAGAGTCCAAGACTAACAAATGCTGCTTTTTGTGATCACAAACCCAGGCTTCAAGTAATTCTGTAAAGTTTGGTGCTCCAAACAGCACAATCCTGATACAAGACAGATACAGATTAATGTTATTCAACAGAAGAGACAGGAAAAAATTACACAGACATATCATCTCTGTCAAAGGGCACAAAACCATATACTGGATGAAATATAGCCTCTTTAGTAAGTGATGCTAGGAAAAATGGATATTTATATGCAGACTATTCAGTCATGATTATTTCATATTTTAGAGTAAAGTGAATTAGAAATGTATTACAGGCATAAATGTGAAAACAAATATTTAATTTGCTGGAACATTATATAGGAAAAACTCGTGAAGACACAGGTGTGGGTTAGGGCACCTTCCAAAGAACACAAATGGTGCAAGAAATAATACCAAGCAAATAGTATCGCATCAAATTAAACAGCTTTGCCCAATAAAAGCTTAATTTATTAACTGAATGAAAGAAACGCAGCCTATAGGATGGAAAATATTGTCTGTAATTCCTTGGCCAAAGGAATAACATTTAAAATATTTAAAGAACTGAAAAAAAAATATGCTCCCAAAAATAAATTGACACCACCAGAAAATGTGTAAAGAAAATGAATAAAACATTTTCAGGAAAATACTTATGATTGATAAATATGTGGGAAAATATTCAATATGACTGACCACAGGAGAAATGCAAATTAAAGCTCTTTGGGATACCACCATATTTCAGAAGAAATGACTGAGATCATGAAACCTAAGAAATATTTGTCTCTTCCATTGAATGTATGATGTGCATTGTATTAATTATTACATAAAAGGTAATTATGCAAATTTGATTATTTCTTATTGTCCTCTCATATTTTATGAAATTCCAATTTTTGTAAAATACAATATATGAGAATGGCTTTCTATTTTCAGCCAAATGGCAGTGAAACATAATTACTGCTGTTTAGAATTAGAATGGAGTTTATTAACAGTATTCTAGATTTTGACAATGCTAATATGTATGAAATAATAAATGATATTTTAATTTTATTTTCACTGATGAGATGTATGTGGATTAGCTTTTATCTATTATTTGCCATATGTATAGCTTTTTGTAAAGGGTCTGCCAATGTATTTATTCTATTTTTAATCAGGTTGTTAGGCATTGTGTTGAATTTTGAGAGCTCTTTGCATATTTTGAAAACATTTCAATTGTTTTTATTATTTTTGTTTACTATACTCTAAGTCTTTACAATATTACATATAATCACTTATGGTGGACAAACTGGTGTTAGTGGTTAAGAATACACTGCAGTTTAACTCAATTTTCATGGCAGTGCCTCAAATTGATATAATATTTGGTGATGAGCACATGGGAAAATTAGCCATCTAGTAATTCTGAAATGTGTCATAATCTATATATATCATGCTGTGCAAAACAGTATAAATGCCAGCATAAAATATAAGAGAATCTTATTCCTCCTGCACAGGATCTCACACACCATCTTGGTAATATCTGGCAACACTCCTCCCCTTTTGCTTCAGTAATTTCAACTGTTGAACATAACATATACATCAGAATGTGTCACCGTTTACTTCCTGTGTTGTCTTTCTTTAAATTTTGCCATACAATTTGATCTGTAAGTGATCAAAGTTTGTAGTTTGAAAAGCTTTTTTATTATGCATGTATGTTGCATTTTCCTTTGTATAAAAATTGTTATGGACTATATCTACATGTTTCAAAATTACACACCCACTAATAGGTTAAGATTTTGGAAGAGAAATGAAGAAATGAGCATAAAGAAATAATGTAGTCAGACAGATAAATAAATACCAGTAGTAAGTCTCTATGTGAATGGTTTTAAGTCATCAATAAAAATGTTTACATTCCATAATTGAAATGGTTTTATTCTGTGTTGTTTGATTTTATTGTCTGTGATAATATGAAGAACTATCTTGACGAAAATAAGATATCGTACTAGCTAGTGCTGATCTAATATCATCTTGTTTGTTGAAGTCCCATCAAGCTTTTTTTTTTAACTTTTTAAAAAATTTTATTTAAGGAGAAAAAAAAAGCAGAGAAAGGGTACAAGTTATACAGATTTACAGAAAAAATAAACAGTAGGAAATAGTTAATGGTTACATATTGTCATCTTAGAAATAATTGTTCAAGTCACAAAATTAAAGCTTGTAAAGTGGACATTCCAACAGTGAGACTGCAAACAGTTCTGTTCAATGATCCAACAAAACTCAGTGATATCATTATCTATCTTATACACATATATACACGCACTTATATCATTTAGAGCACTTTCTTTTCCTCTCTTTTGTACAATGACAACTACCCATTTTGGGTTTTGTTGCTCCCACACTTCTTATTACTTTTTTGGAAGGGAGTAGAACCAAATGTGACATAACAGAACAGAGTCAATCATATCAAAAGGGTGGACATAATAGATAATGTAAAAGCATAATAGAAGGTGATCAACAATGGTTACCATAATGCCTCCCACTATCTCTAATAGAATTGCCTATATCATCAGTTATAATAAAATTAAACAAAACAGTAAAGAACAAAACTGACAAAAGCAAAACATTGGAGACATTATAGGTCTTCAAAAGTAGGTAATAGTC